TATACTAACAATAATCATAAGTATCATATTACGATCGGTGGGGATTGTCCATCGGTTATTAGCCAGTAGAACTATAAATTATAATGTACGTCATTACGATTTATACTGTTAACAATAAATGTCTATATAATATGTTTAATATGTTATTATATATATTAATAATGCGTAACAGTTAATATGATACAGACGTGTAGTTTCAATACTATTAAACATGTCAAGATTATGACTTATGAACAAATTATCATCATCCTTTATGATTAACATAATAGACGAAGATAGCGGGATACATAATCGTTAATACAGAATCTCATAAGATAACCATACAAACTGAAATATAAAAAATGCAAAGGACACATTTTGCTTACCTATGTACCTAGATGACATAATCAAAATTGGAAAATTACAGTATACAATCCAAGAAGCTATGACATCTTTYAAATAAAATACATTGGCGTAACGCGTAAATGTCAACAGTAAAAAAAATCAAATATTTGATAGAAAAGCAATTAAAAGATGATCAGGCCATAGGCGTAAATTTGGCTTGCTAGAAGGGGGGGCTAACGCTAAAATTTTAATTTATATAGCTATATATTACCTTAGCTCTGATAAATATACCACTAGTTTTTTATATAATTATTATATAAGTTAAATTAAACTAACCGATTGTTAAATATTTTTATGAAACTATGGTTCTAAATTATTCTTATAAATTGCATAATTTACAAGTTAATACATATTTAGTTTTTATTCATAAATARTGAAAACATTAATGTTGTTGCTTATAGGAAAACACCACCAATAGATATGAATATATTATCTACAATGAAAATGAAAGGAACTGTTGGTTATGCTCCAAACCCAAATAATCGCAAACGAAATCAAGTAATTAGTCATGTTACATATAATTCTGTTATTATTGTGGATTAAAATTGTATTAATATTAATGTTGATATACAATGGTATACAGTATATACACATAAGTAATAAAATATATAATGAGATATTTTAKTTTAGTTAAAATTAACTGAGTTCAACCAACCATTTTTGCATCTTAAATTTACTATACATTTTACCATTTTGTTTGAAAAATGTTTGTTTCTTATTCAATTTTAGGTTGCATATTTCAACACTATATCTGAGTCACAAAATAATGTTAATCATACCCGATCAAATGATGAAGAATGTGAATCCCCAACATTTGTAGCAATACCTCGAAGATATAGAAAAATTGATTTGAAATTTAAAAGTGAAGATTTTGATCATGAACAATATAATAAAACTGGATTCAGTGGTTTAGAATCCAATGTTCCCAACTCATACTGCAATCCAATGCTTCAAGTAATTTAATATTTATTATTTAAATATTTAAAAGCATAGTATTATCTTCTTTGGACATTTTAGATATAGACACCATTATACACATATCAAACCTCAATGTCAGAGACTCGTCATTTATACATGGTATGTCACAAAGTTCTAACATAATATTATAACATATTATRCACCATTTGGAAATATGGGCCATATGTCAGAACTGCGTGATTCACCCTATGTATGTGCTTTAAATTATTAGAATATGACTTCATTCATAGTTTATGATATAAGAYGTTTACACTATTCCTTTTTTTTTTATTATACTGATATTACTCTATCATATAATAAAATAAAAATAATGAATATTACTACCCAAATTTTTGGTAAGATCTAAATAAGACCATGAATCCAAACTTATTTTCAAAACTGAAATTTCATAATTTGATCGATCAGTTGAATTAAAAATAGGTCTTTTAACACGAGAAATAATGGGTTTTTAATACTTTAAAATATTATTTAAAAAGACCTACTAACAATTGAAAATATCCTACTGTTTGGTTGAATTTGACTGAATACCAAAAAATTTAACTTCTTTTACAGCTGTATAAGATAAATATAATATAGTATTTATTTTTTTAAGGTTTTATATTTTTTGGAACCACTGCGGAAAATTTTAATGTCACATATATGTCAAGAAGAATTTTGTTTAAGTTGTGAATTATCATTTTTATTTTATATGATGAATAAATCTAAAGGGGTACCATGTCATTCCGGGAATTTTTTAAGAGCCCTTCGTAATGCTCATGATGCTACAGCTCTAGGACTCATATTGCCTGAACATAACAATGCCGAAATGAAAAATAAAATCAATATCAGTATTTTAATTCAAGTAAGTTTAACTAAATTATAAAGTTTTTTTTTTTTATTTAAAAAAAAAAGGAAGTTTCAACATCTAAGGTTATTCAATTTGTGAAATTTAAAATGTTAATTTATGTAAGGAAATTAAAAATTTTTTTGGTGTTATCTTCATGGAGTGCTTCTTCTAAGTTGTTGAATATTAATTAAATATATTAATTAGGTAATATTTATACTATAAATTATAATAAGATTTTTTATGATTATTTTTGTTAAATTATTTGGAAACTGATAATTGTATATTTTAAATCAATTTAAATGCGTGTTTATGTTATTCAAATTATAATTATAAATATAATTATAATTCTTAATAATAAATAAAGTTTTTTTTTTAAATTTATATTAAAAATAAATAAGATTGACTGATATATTTTCAAGTGAGATATTTAAATTAACGTTTATTGGAAGTATATGTTTTTAACAAGGATTTTAAATTAAATTAAAATAGGCACTATTAAAATTAATTGCTAAAACTACTTATTTTGAAAATAACTCCGATTAAAATAATGTTATTTTAATATTTTTACTTTTTACTAGAACTGGAATCGGTTTATTTTGCATCAAATTCATTTGGAGCTTTTGAGATCAAAAAAGAGTTTAACTGATGAACAAGAGAAATGTATTTTCAAAGATACAGATTTTCCAAGTAT